CATGGATTTGATGGACTGACATACCAAGCAAGATAAATATTGCAGGCTACATTGGTATATGTTCAGTTTATTATTATGTCATATTAAGACTGTTGGACATTATTTTTTTATTCAGTAATTCCCCTATATGGGAATGTGATAAAATTCGAAGTTAACCCCCAGTAAAGATTTCACAAATCAATTGAAATAACGCTGTACCTCGACTGGTTTCATTCTGGAGCCCCATATCTGGCACAATTATCTGCATTATCGTTTCATTTTTGTTGATGATTGTTTCGATGGTGTTTTGGTGCCGGAAGATAGAATAATTGATACTAATTATTGCTCCCCGTACTGAAGACACATAACATCTCAGATAATAGCAACAAGTGTTGGGAATGCGGATAAGTCGACAGGACATGGTCGCTTAAATGAGGCAGCTTCTTGATCTGCACGGAAAAATTACCAGGACCAATGCATTTAAATTGACTTCGGCAAGAAAGATGTTGTTGGAGCGATTTCACTCAAAGTAGCCGTAATTATGATTAGCGGGTGAAGACCTACTCTGTATCCTATAGTTCCGACAGGCAAAAGTTCGCTCATTACAAAATAAATTGATTAGTCAGGGTTAGCTGGATTAATAAGCAAGGCTCCTACAGATTACCCTCTCACGTTATATGCATCACATCATTTCCATGCGGTCATATATAACTTTTAATGTGTGATTAAGATTAATTGTTTAACAAATTACTCATTTCATTAGAGACTCACTAGTGGAAAGTGTCCTATCACCAACTGTAACCGCGCTTTACATCCGCATTCTTCCAAAGACATGGTACGCAACATATCTTTGAGAATTGAAGTTTATAGCTGTTCTTTAGGTATGTTCTAGCAATTCACTGAAATACTATTTGTTCACTAAGGAATAAGAAATGACTGAGAGATCCATCTGACTGAAATATATAGCAAAAATATTTCAATAAGTGGCTTATATAAGAGTGAGTTTTTGATTTAGAAATAAATTGTTTACACGATGAATTTTTTTTCTATTTTTCAATTCTTACCCCTCCAGTGGGTTTGTCAGGTTTTTTACTAACTTAGGTGCATTGGAATACAAGTAAAAATAAGGGTGTTTTAGAAGTTATACCTGGACGGGGAATCCAGCATATCATTATGAGGAACAAAGCTATTATAGCGGTATATACTCAGGGCTATCACAATCAAGTTTAGTGTTATCGCTTGATTTTAATGTTTGCTGCACGGTCGGATTCTCACATTTAAAAGAAAATCAAGCTAAAAGTTTTACACGTACAAAAGTATAGGTATGGAACTGTTCTTTAATTTATCGGAAGAACTAGCGCGTTTTTAACCCACCACGTGTGTCAATGAGGATGCATATTCCTTCGATGTCATCTTACATCAAGCATTTTCAGCCATGCTATGCAAATTTATGAAATCCATTGTTTTCACAGTGAATGAACTCCAAAATATTAGCAGAGCATGACTAAATTGTCGTGTTAGCTACGCAACTGAGTATTTTTTTGCTCGCAGAGACTCGTCTGTCGAACGTGACCGTCGGCTAGTCTTCATCATGAACGCAAAAAACGTTCGCAAAATGCGCTCTGCTTTCGTGAAACGAAATCACGGACAAAACTCGGAATTGAGATTAAGTTCAATACACAAGCGACACAAACCTTTATAAGAGTTTCGTCATCCGAGGCACACAATAAAACATTTTCTGGCTAGAGAAGAAAAAGTTAAATTATGGTAATTAAAGATTAGGATATAAAGAGTAATTAAATAAATAAGTGCGCGCTTACCTTCCAATCCCTGTGGGTGATGCCATTTTCATGTAAGTGCAAAAATACGAAACAGTATGAATAAAGTTAGTTTAGTTCAGGCTCCTGTAGTAACACTGGATCAATAACAGATGATCCTTAGCTTGGTGTCATTAAAAGCGCCAATCTCTTCCTAACATTTTCCATAAACTTTAGTCATCGCCTGTGAATAAAATATTCCAACTTGTTTCATTCATTCTTCGAAGTCTACACATGGCTAGACTCTCGCTAAACGACATCCCCACCTGAAGGCACATTGCTTTCATAGTTGGTTTAGTTGTCAATCGGAATCTGTGGTACAGATCGTTAAACAACTCGAGCCTGAAAACAAAATAGAAAAGTCGATCGAATCGTGAATTGTTTCATCCATGATTCTATACTTCTCTACTACATACTGCAGGACAAATAACATTGTGTGAACTGTGCAGCAATATGGAGAATAGGACGCTGAGGTATATTATATATTAGATATCTGGAATCGTTTTTATGCGCGGGAAGCAGGACAGTAGTTTGAATATTTGCAAATCCTGATAGATAAATGTCGTGGACTCACACATTTGTTATCGGCGTTTCCCCGTCGTTTTGTTCCAACAAGACTCTCAAATAATAGTCGCCTGATAGGAGAGATACGTTACTGAGTTTGATTATTGCTATCGAGAGATAGGGGGAGGGCGCTTTAAAAAGAACTGTTAAAAAGCTAGAGCAGTATAAGGATTACCACTAACCTATTTTCAGTTGATCAGGAAACCATTCATACAGGACTTCAAACTAAAGGTGATTCCAAAAAACAACGTAGTTTCCACTCAGATCTTTTTCCATTGCAAATGCGCGCAACTCAGATTCGAGAGCCCCAGAAGTTCCTCTCGCGTCTGTCACATTGAAACAAAAGAAATTGTTTCAAACTCTTTTACGAGAACAGTTTAGAGAAAGAGGTCAGGACTATTGAATTTGTCTTGTTATACTCATAGCGACAGGAAATCCTCCATTACCTTTTCATTTCCTATATTTTCAACGGAAACTAACCTTAACTTCGAGACTCACCTTGTAATTCCAAATCAGGTTGTACGCTTTCAGATCTTGACTGAATCTGTAAAAAAGATCCGTTTAAATACCATTGCTTTTTCTTTCAAACGACTAGAACATTTTCCCATTTTCTTAATATGAACACTTACTTGTAATAAAACAACTGGATTTAAATTCTCACATCTTTCCTGGATTTGAACCCTTTTTGTCCTCCAATGCGAGAGATATCCTTCAAGTTTATTCCTTGACGTTCCTCTCGCTTCTCCAGAGCTCTAACAGACAAGTATAGCACGTGAAATAACAGGCTAATACGTACATACAAGCATGCATTATGAAATTTTGGAACACGATTGTTGCCTTAAAACGTACTCTGCAAGCTTTACATTGTCACGAATTGATAATAATCTTCTTTAGTCTCTGGTGGCTAAAGGAAAGATAAAAACTTTCCAACAAAATTGTTTCTTTACAAAAAGGTTTTACACTTCTGAATGAATTACCTTTTAATTATTTCGTCAGTGGGACAGTTTAAGGATGAATGATGGAGTTTAGTTACCAAAGCAGTTGATACCACTATATCACCATATTACATAATTGTTTATGAACCAAAACTTACGAACAGGAAATCTCGCATTTAAACTTTATTGTATATTTTAGACATTAAAAACTATAACTACTTTAATACGAACATTATTCTCAAAAGTAATGCCATTGCTGTTGGATGATCAGTTGTCCAGAGAGCCACAAGATGTCCACTCAATTGCCTATATGCCAACAATAAAGATTATAAATTACTTATGGAGTATGCTTGTTAGTCTCAATTGAACTATTTACAGATGGCTAGTATATAGAGGATTATAAAATCACAAGTTTTAAGATGAATCTAAGAATGTTGCTAAAATGTTGCTGGTTGAGTAAACAGCGTGTGTTTGGTTAAAGATAAACGTTTCTCACCTAGTGAGCGTTGTGAAAGCGCGAAACCTGCTTTGGATCGAACCCAACTTCTCAAATCGTGAAACAGTGCTTCGAGATCTTTATCTCATATTTTGTTTTGGTCTCCTGCAAATAGACGAAACTTTTTAACTATTTTATGTATATATAGAACACCTGTGAAGGTAATAGCACTCAGAATATGTATATTTTTGGGTTGAACACTAAATAAATTTATTGGCAAGATATACAATACCTTTGTGAGCAATGAGCATTTTGATAAGTCTTTCTTTATTCTATTAGACAAGTCCCTACAAAATATTTAAAATCGTTTGAAATATATATTGGAGTTTAAAAGACTTAATATTCCAGCCGTACTTCTGGCGGGAAAATTTCAAAACTACCATTTCATGGATTCGGACCCAGTCAACTCAGCAACCAGAGTTACCGCAGCCTAGTCCCTAGGCTTCTTAATGTTCCTTATACGCGGCGAGGTGGGAACTGAGAGGCCTAGAACAAAATGTTTTGTATTTTAGCTAAAGTGGGACTTTTTGTCCCCACTTTCTGTATTGAGGTCAGTTTACGATCTACGACGCGGTTAACTGGCCTTGTTCGACGTCGTTAGTCAAACATTTGCTTGAAATAAGCTACGGGATATTAATTATATTGCGAGGAGTCGAAATATTCATACAAACGTTTCAATGTCGCTCGCTGTCAACGCTATCGACTATCAAGTAAACTCGAGTCAGTACGTACATGTTTATGATTATAATAACTTCAATCCACCAATTAACAATTATTGGATGAGGTTGAGTGTGATATCGAGAATTATCAAGCTGAAGTTTGCGTTATTTGCCGAAGCGAAGCTGAGGCGGATAACGCAAACTGAGGCTTGATAATTCTCGATATCATGCGAAAACCGAATTCAATAATTGTTTTATTATGTATTTCCTTTTTAAAGACGAAGTTTAACAACAAACTAGCGGTAAAATTACGTCACCTACGGATAATTTTCAATGTCGTGTAGATGGCAAGACATTGAGAATTATCTGTAGCTTTTTAGCCAATCACAATCGATATTGCCTTACAATGCATAATAATTTAAATTATTCTCGCTTCCCTTTATAACGGTTACTGTTGTAAATTGCAAACATTTACTTTATAACAATTCTAATTTCAAGTCACAACATTAAACGGGCCGTTAAGATTAGAAAATATTTTGTGTTAGGCCTCTCGCGCGCGTTTCATTCGGTGACGTGACGGAAATATAAAACACGCGCAATGAGAGGTCTGGGACTAGGCTGGAGTTACGGCGGTTTTTAGGGAGTACTATTAGTGTTTTGTGTACATTTGTGCACAGAACAGTAGCAGGATAGGGTATTTTATTAAAGCCATACTCTTTGCCTTTGGCTATACTGGATAAACCAGTTTAAATGTACCGTGTTGTTTGCAGACGTTTTAAACCCTGCTAAATGTTTTCAATTAGCAGCCGAAATGGGCAAATGTTTTCATTTAACGTAACTATGCAGCCTAGCAATCGTTTAGTTTACACTAAAGGCTGCTTTCTACTTACGCGTTTTTTATACGCATGTACACATACGGAGAATTTTAATTGCTTTTAAATTTTTTATTATCATGCATCTAGGTCGATTTATTCACTTCGTTTTTTCAAAGGTAACATGTATAAGAATTTAGATTTTTATGTGCGTGTACGTGCGTATGAAAAACACGTGAGTGGAAAACAGCCTTAATCCAGATTTTGACAAAACATTAAAACTCAATAAAAAGGCAATAATATTCTCTACACAGGATTTCGTCTGCAGAAAGTACAAGATAAGAAGTTGTCAACTTACGTCTTGGGTGACTGCATGAAGTAGACCGCAGTAGGAAATATTGCAGTTAAATCTGTACACAGCTTCGGTTAAATTTCCTGCAAGGAACCAGTCATAAGACAATATTTTTGGAGATATTTCAAAATTTAAAGTGAAATAAAAGGGAAATATTTCACCTGGAGATGCAGCGAGGAATTTAAATGACTGCTTTCTACTTCTTCGTCAACAACATTATACAATGGACCCCAACGATAACCTTGAAAAATATATCATCTTAAAAAAAATTCTTCTTTTGCTGTATGTGATGTATTGAACTGGCTAATAGGAATAACGCTATTAGCTGATACCTGACGAGAAGTGTAATTGTTGGTGTGTTATATGAGTCACATACGTCAGCAGGAGAATGAAATGAGGGATCCTATTTAGGGTAATCATAGCAGTACGAGATTTTCATCAGGAAAATTTTGACCATAATTTTCGCTCAATCATCTATGAATAAGCGTACAGTACTTCTCTTCGTTGGGGTCGTTTTTACGCAAACATCTATGTTTCAACTGGCTCTAACATCGTCTAGCAAACCAGCCAATAATGTTTCCCTAGATGAGTGAAATACAATTCAAAACAAGAATATTTTTTTTAGCTTCATACAAATTTGCTTTCTTACACTACCTGTCAGGAGACGAGTAATTTCTCAGCCGACCGCTTGTGTATTCCAGCCCGAACGACTGAGGATGGTTTCGATTTCGAATTATTAAAAATATCTGACAGGAAAAGAAGTTTGAAACTATGATTACTATACGGTATATACGGTATATTCTGGAAAGTAACTGGAAAAATAAAACTATTTTAACTCGGCTGGATACTTTTTTGCAATTGGACATGTTCGAAATGGAAACGTGAAATAAAAAGACGATAAAAGCAGTAAACTTGAATCCAGGTCAGAAACATTGAGTGTTTGGAGTGTTTCTTTCAAGGTCAGATATGAACAATTACTGGAACTGACATGGAATGTCGCATGACTTAATGAGCTAAGGGGATGAAGGGTGACGATATTGTACGTTTCTAAGAACACACAGCGTTCTTTCAACAGGATCCTAAATTTGAGAGTGTCAAAACGATTTTAAAATGAGAAAAAGGATAGACTCTTAGAAGATTTTATTAACAACATAACTCACTTTACTCCGAGGAGTTTCTTTATAGACGCTGAATTCTGACATTGATGTGATATGTTCGTCATCACTGAAACGAAAAAAATTGTCATTTACTGTCATATCCCACATTCTTTACACAGGACAAACGAAATACTGTCTTAATAATATTCATTCAACTGTATTTTCCAAATTTGTTATAAAAACGACTCCACTTTGATGGAACTTTTCTTCTGCCTACCGAGGCAAAAGAAATAACAAATACAGCTCAAAGTAAATTACAGACCTGGAAAAAATTTTGTCAAAAACGGTTAAAACGTAAACAATAAAGTAACCTGATATAAGTCATTTTGTCATTTACTTAAAATTTGTTACTTAAATGTTCACATACTTTATCGTAACACCAACATTATTGAAAGAAGATTCCATCATCTTTTTCAGCAATTCCTCTCTGATGTGAAAAGATGCTGGAAAACAAAAGCAAAATTGTGCACAAAATGTAAAACTTCAATTTACAGAAATAACTGGTATCTTATCTTTTTGTTATATTATGGCTGGTACTAGCAACATCTGGTACATACCTTGTGCTAAAACCACCACAGAACAACCAAATCCTGTAGGATAATCTGAGACCTAAGTATAGAAATGGAATGAAAGCTGAGTTGAATTATTCCAATCACAAATATTCAAATGTCTGGCAATATCAAGTATATATATATATTATATATTATATATATTATATATTATATTATATATATATATATTATATATATATATATACTGTCGTTGTCAAAGGTTGTCCTGAGCAGTATATGTATATATCGATCACGTGATTATTATGCATCAACACGCGTGGGATTGTACAAGCGTGTTAATTGCGAGTTCGAGTATAGCAGGTGCACGATTAGAAAATGCCAAGACCATATTCGGATGATTTAAGTTGGAGATGGTTTATCAACGACTGTTCTCGAAAGATCATCGACGAAATTGCAGCACGCTATTTGTTTGTTCAAAACCATCTATCGTACTCTCAGCACTTTTGAACACGGGTGATCGATGTGAGCCTTGCCGTATGGGTCGCCCAACAGCGAGCGCATCTTTATTCCACAAGAAGAATATATTATCATGGACTGTTTACTGCGAACGCCGCAAATACAGTTGAATGAGATAGCAAGCTATATGTAACCTCTTCATAGGATTCAATCAGGACTGTCGTACACTCGTTCTACAACTTCTTGTACATGATGTGTTGGGTGGTTATCTGTTAACAAATATGCGTATTACTAGTTTTAGCAGTTGCATCTTTGTGCATCAACAAGTTTTGTTTAACAGATATCAATAGATCAAACATGATCACGATTCAGTCATCCCTTGAGACATATGTTAGACAGCGAATTTGCATTAATTATATTCAAATCTCAACCATATAACGAGAACGGATCGCGGGTTTTCCCCATCAAATCGATTTATAGCTGGTAAAAGCTGTTCATCAAGAAATGGATAAAGGAGCGTGTTTCAAATCTTTCTTCGGATTCTTCAACAAACAGTTCGCAAGAAGTCCATCACCAATATTGCCGAAATAATGGAAATCGCGCGGTGTCCACCGTGCATGCTATAGTCGCTCACCAAAGCGGTATCCCACGAGCACTATATCCATATTGTGCGCAATTCGTTTATTTTCTTAAAACGTAGAACCATAATAAGAGATCTACTAGTTTGTGCAATCCAGTTACAGTAAGTATTCTTTAGTACATACAATGCCTGTTTCATCGGGAAAACGAGCAGGTTTGGGTCAAAAAGGCTGATTTCGGCCATGAATTGTAGCCTAATATCGTTTCTTCGTTGAAGGCAATTCTCTGTATCTGAAAAAGAAATCTGCTTGAAGAGTTGATAAGAACAACTAGAAAAGGGTGGAATGGCTTGCGTCTTATTATAGTTATATGATTTCAAGCGTGCGGTATGACTATTGAGATATATTCCAACTTATAATGTCATATGTTCGTACCTTTTTGCGTGTTATTCCAGTTCTATAGAGAGCTCGGCACGTGTCTCCGGGCCAATGCAGAGCCAGTAGCATTATGATATAGCTTGCTATCTCATTCAACTATATTTGCGGCGTTCGCAGTAAACAGTCCATGATAATATATTCTTCGTGTGGGAATAAAGATACGCTCGCTGTTAGGC